ACTTTCGAGCCTGTCCTGGAACTAGCTCTGTAGATCTAGACAGGGACTCATTAACCTAGGAAAACAACTTCAAGAAGGGTGGTGGTGCAGGCCTGTAGCTCCACCACTAAGCAGGTAAAACAGGAGAATCAGGAGCTCAATGTTACCATTAGCTACATAGTGAGTTCAAAGCCTCCTGAGATACATGAGACCCTATCTGAAAAAAATAGAAGCAATCCACCTAGTAGAGTTATGGGTACTACATAAGCACACAATTTACAATATTTTAATACTTTATAGTAGGTAGCTATATAATATGCTGAGTTTGACTATCTTTTTAAAAACTGAGATATGGTTCACATACCATAATCATCACCATTTTAAAGTATGCAGCCTAATGGTTTCAAATATAGTAAAAAAAAAAAAACGGACAAACAAACTTGTGTAGCCATCCCATTATCTAGCTCCAGACCATTGTTAAAATCTCAGAAAGTCCATACGTATTCGTAGTCACACCCACTCCTTCCCTCCTCTAGGCCTTGATTGCTATTATGCTTTCTATTTCTATGCGTTTCCCTATTCTAGGTATTTCATATAAAGGGAATCACACAATATACTACATTTCTGTATTGGCTTCTTTTATTTGGAAGTATATTTTAAAGTAGTATCCATATTGCAGCATCCATCAATACTCCATTTGTTTTTGTAGCCAAATAAAATTTTGTATTATGAATAAACCATGTTTTGATCATTCATGGTGACTCTGAATATTGCTGCTGTGAACTTTGGTGTGTATGAGCTTTTGAATGAACACGTTTTTTATTTTATTCAGTACCTACCTAGGAGTGGAATTGCTTGATCAGATTTACATTTAATTCCAGAGGAAATGCCAAACTATTTCCCAAAGCAGCTACACCATTTTACATTCGTGCCAACAATATATATGAGCGTTTCAATTTCTTCACATCCTGGCAGACACTCGCTGCTTTCCCTTTTGTTTGTTTGCTTTGTATTATTACAGCTATTCTAGTGTGTTTGTTTGTTTTGCATTTCCCTAATGGCTAATGATGTTGGGTATCTTTTTATGTGTTTTCTGCCTATTTGTTTATCTTCTTTGGAAGATTCTTTGCCTTTTCATTCTGCTGGTAGTGGTTTTTATAGCCCTAAAGTTTTAAATTTGGATGAAGTAGCATTTATCTGTACTGGTTGCTTGTGCTTTTGCTGTGATCTAAAAAATCATGTTGTTTAATCTAAGTCATCTCAGATTCACAGGAATCTTTTCTTCAAAGGCATTTATTTACTCTTTTGATTCTTATACTTAGATGATAGATTCATCTTCATTTATTCATCTTGTAGACTGAGGGTTTTTTTGTAGCCCAAGATCTCAACTATGTAGTCCCTAGTGGCCTTGAACTCACTATGATCCTCTCCTCCCACCTCTCAAGGGCTGGGGTTACAGGCACACACCACCATGCCTAGTTTGAATTATTGTTGTATGTTGTAAAGTAGGTTTCTAACTTCATTTCTTGTGCATGTGGAGATGAAGTTATCCCAGAACTATTTGTTGGGATTTTTCTTTCTTTGCTGAATTATCCTGGAACCTTTGTCGATTGGCTGTAAATATACAGGCTTATTTCTAGAGGTTTTTATTTTCCTAAGTTTGAACATTTGCTGTGTGATTTGCAAGCAAGTTGACCTTGGGCAAATTGCTTTTTTGTAATGCTAGTACTTATTTTTTAAGAAAACTGTGAAAAAGGTAATAGGTATGGTAATGCTTAGATAATAATGGGGATGGGGAAAATGGAGGATAGTTGCAGAAATGCCGAAACAGGAATAATAATCAGAAGCCTTAATAAATGAGAAATGAACAAAGAGATGTTTGAGGAACTTGCAAAAATTATTCAATCCCTCAAATTGGCAAAGGGTGTTACTGTGTCTTAATAAAATGAAGGAGAATGGAGTCCCGGGCATGGTAGTGCATGCCCACCATCCCATCACTTGGGAGGCAGAAGCAGGAAGGTCACATGTTGGAGGTCAGCTTCAGTCTAACGTCAGTGGTCTTCTGTAACCACCTTAACTGCTTGCAATTCTGTAAAAATAATACAAGATATTTAAGGTATAGCTTATTTAGTAATTTTCTGTACTTTGTCTATCCTTTCTGATGTATTTGTTTGTTTTCAATGTCAGACTTTACTGTTAAGGACACCTCAGAGAGTCTGTTGAAAGCTATGAACAATCCTCTTCAGGTAATAAATGCATACAACAGTCACATGCTCTGCAGACATTTTATAGCAGGCCCAGAATCCCCTAGTTAAATCTCCTAATTTGACCTCATATAAGGCAATTGTGTCCCAGAATGTGCTTCCCCAAGCTTTATTTCATAGTGAGGTTCAAGAGTTGTATTGATTTTGGAACACATTTTAGGGTTTCATATGAGATTGAAGAGGCATTTCTCCATACAGAAGTGTTTATACAGCACCCTCTTAAGGCAAGGAACTGTGACACTTTAACTGATTTTATATAGGTGTCAACATGTGGAAGTGACTTTCAGTATTGCTTCTGACCAACCAAAATAGTTTTTCAACACAGCTATTATGGACTACCTGAAGCCCTGGAAGGGGCCGGGATAGAAGTGTAGTGTCAGATGGAGATCGTCCTAGAGGAAGGAGTCAGAGAGGCAGGCAGGCTCAGAGGGACACAGAGAGACAAAAATAGAAGCGGAAGCAGGCCATTTAGAAACCCTCTTAAATAGTTAAGATAACGTCAGCGAAGAAGGTGAGATGATTAGAGTAAAGGTGTGGGGGGAGAAAGCACAGACCTTGGCATGAGACTGGGTTCTGCTTTTGCTTTGTGTTTCTGGTTGACTTACTAGTGACTATGAGCCTCATTTTCCTAAGTGTGTGATGGGTCTAGTAATAATACTATATCCACATTCCTGTAAGAATAATGTACACAAAGTACTTAACACAGTGCTCAGAATGCAGTCAAATAATCAATAAATATTATGTACCTTCTTACTTTTGGTTTGAGTAATACTTTATTGGCCATTATTGAATACCTATTTTGTGCCAGTCACCATGCTAGGAATAAAAATAAAAAATTGTCGATGCTCTCCAGGAGAGGAAGGAGTTAGTTGGAAATATAGGTATGTTAAGGAAAATGTTCTAGAGAAATAATAAACGCGTTCTGGGCTTGGATGGTACCATTCATCATTTGGGGAAATCTGAAAGAGGAAATGGTTGTGTGTGTGTGTGTGTGTTTTTTGTTTTATATTTTGGTTTGGGGTTGTTTTTTTTTTCATGAATGGTCAGAGAGTATAAGTCCATTTGTGGCCATGTTCAATCTGAGCATCTGAGGGGCATCAGGTGAAATTATCTAAGGAAATAGTCTTACTTTTCTGTGGAAGTTGTGATCTTTATTCTCTAAAAGCATCCTATTGTAACATTTCTATACAAACATGTGTGAATATATTTATAAGAACATGAAAATGGTAAAATAAAAATATCACATGTCCCCTTTTAAAAATGTAACTAAACAAACCTTTGAACCTACTAAACTAACTGGGAGTATCTGCCTTATAAAGAAAACCCTTCCCATTTACAGCACAGTTTACTGTAGGAGGTTCCATTAAATAGCTGGTTAGTCCGGTGCATTGAACAGGATTGATTTAGAAATATCTTTTGTGTATACATTTATTGTACTTAAATGCTAGATATAATTGTACCCAGAACTTGTGATTCCTGTCAGAAGACGACTTGCATATCACTAATCAATGACAATATTTGAACAAACACCAGTGCAAGAATCAAATTTAGGAGTCCTGATGAAGATTCCAGCGCTAGGGAGATGAATAAGACTACTCAAAATCAAAAGATGCCCTTCTCTCTCTTATTAAGAGAATCCACAGTTTTAGTCAGTGAAACATGTTTATATTTGTCCTTAGTGGGAGCTAACAGAATGCTGAGGACTCATATCAATCCCTATATGTCCAACTCTGAAATGCCTGTGGGCAAATGCATAAAGTGACAAGCTGGTTAGTTCTGTCAGCTGGGAGATTTCTTGTACTCTCTGGTCCACACTAAAATGAAGGCTACCACATCTGAAGGTTTCTGGCTGTTCAACTTGCCAATTTCCATCTAGGTCTTGATTTGCATCTAATCGTGTATTAGTAAGCATGAAAACACGCATGGGGGATGAGCTTTGCAACAGGCAGGTGCTAGTTGAGAAAGTGTTTAACATCAAATCCAAACTGAAGCCATCATCGTTAGCAGTTGGGTACTAATTCTTCACTACTCAACTTGAGGAAATGTAAGAGTTTTTGAAGGTGAGGGTTTGAGAAAGGGAAAGGGAAAACTATTATCTTTTGTCTCTAATGACTCAGTTTACTAGAAATAGGATGAAACAAATTTCCATATGTGGTAATATGAAGTAATTCAAGTTCACACTCGGAAGAAAAACGTATTATCCTGCACTGAAAACTGCATTTTCCCCAAAGCCGTCTGCTTTTAGTTTTTTCATGCGTATGCTTAGAATAAAATCATTTCAGGAAGGCAAGAGCTAGTTTGAAATATAGCCTTGTTTTCCTTCCACTGGATGTAAGCTAGGAGCAGCCCTTATATCTTGCCTTGACATGAAATAGAGAACAATATTGGAGAATAGGGATTGAGAAATTTGTAGGGCCTCCAACCCATCACAGTCTCGGTGAAGAGATGTCAGTGGAGAATTTAGAAGAGAGTGATCCATGCCAATTGTGTGAGCTGAGATGGTAATGTTAATCAGGAAACCAAGACACAGAGGTGGCCACTTGCTTCTATTTATTAGTGAAGGGGAAAAAAATCTCCGGCAAGTGTCTAAAACAAAGTGTAGAAAGGCTTCCTGATTAATTTCCGGGTAACTCCTATTGCTTAAGCATCCCTGGGGAGCCTATCAGGCCAAAAGTCTCCATTGGTTACAATATAATTATTCTACAACCACTTTTCCTTTGGAAATGCTTAATGACTCTTACTTTGTATTGCTCGCAGGTGAAAGCCCAGCCTCTGCGGTTCTTAATGCCTCAGCAGGATTATTTTCACTAAAGATGGAAACACTGGAGTCTGAATTGACCTGTCCAATCTGCCTCGAGTTGTTTGAAGACCCCCTTCTGCTCCCCTGTGCTCATAGCCTGTGTTTCAGCTGTGCCCATCGCATCTTGGTCTCCAGCTGCAGCTCCGGCGAATCCATCGAACCCATTACCGCATTTCAGTGTCCTACATGCAGGTATGTTATCTCACTGAATCACCGGGGCCTGGATGGCCTCAAGAGGAACGTGACCCTGCAGAACATTATTGATCGCTTCCAGAAGGCTTCAGTCAGTGGGCCCAATTCTCCAAGTGAGAGCCGTCGGGAGAGGACTTACAGGCCAAGCTCCGCCATGTCTAGTGAGCGAATTGCTTGCCAATTCTGTGAGCAGGACCCTCCAAGAGATGCTGTGAAGACATGCATCACCTGTGAGGTCTCCTACTGTGACCGCTGCCTTCGGGCCACACACCCCAACAAGAAACCCTTCACCAGCCATCGCCTGGTGGAACCAGTTTCAGATACACATCTTCGAGGGATTACCTGTCTGGACCATGAGAATGAGAAAGTGAACATGTACTGTGTATCTGATGACCAATTGATCTGTGCCTTATGCAAACTGGTGGGTCGTCACCGAGACCATCAGGTAGCTTCCCTAAATGATCGGTTTGAGAAACTAAAGGTAAGCAGTATGCATTTTTTGATTTACTACGTAGTTGTATAGTTAGCAAGTTCCCCAATAACCTAGGTCACTTTTTCTATAGGATAAGTACGTCAACTTCAAGATGTTTTCATGGGGGAATAACCTACTCCCTGCAAGTTTTCACTGGAACCTATCTTTTGCACAAGCCTGCTTCTGTGTAATTCTGGGAGAGTAAGCCCATTGCCCACTTGACCAGGGTAACAGCAGTCAGTCTCTCTCCTCTGGGACACATTGCACATTACTTATCTTTGCTATGATCTTTCCCTCTCTTTTTTTCAGTATGCGAGTACCTGTGTAGGTGTTCTGCAATTAGCATGTGTGCTAATTTGCATACGTTTGGGTGGGTCTCTGTGGAGGTGTGGGTGGAAGTGTCTGAGTGTATCTACGTAGGTAAGAGGTTGGTGGAGAACATTAGTACACATGTTTGCAAGGGCTGGGGATGTGGCTTGGTAAAGTGCTTGCCAAGCAAGCGCCAAGTCCCTGAGTTCTATTTCCAGCTCTGTAAAAACAACAACAAAAATGCCTAGTCAGTACAGCAAAGGAAACAATACTTGGCATTACAAAATGGCATTGATTAGTTAACACAGAACTAATTCTTATATATACCAATGTATCACCAAGTCAGGAGGTGTGACCAAATGCCTGAACTAAAAATGTAAACTGAAAAGCAATGACTGTCAACCTAGTATTCGATTTTGTGCCCGCGTTTGGTATTTTCGGCCCAGGCTAAAACAGTCGTTTGCAGTCTCCATCTTATAAGTTTCGAGTCTTTGATGTGTGTCCAGTGGGCAGTTTTGTGAAGTTATGTTAAATAATATTTGTTCGCAAATCTGAGTACCTAGTTTTAAAAGTCTTCTTAGCTCACTTTCACGTTCACCTATGCCATATCTCGCAAACTGTTCTATTCCTATTGTCTTCCTGATATGTGGTGTAATTTTTCTCAAGAAGGAAGCCACTTACCATAGATTACAGACAAAACAGAATGTCTAGAGCTGGCTTTGGCAACATATATACTAAAGTTGGAGTGAAAAGAGAAGATTGATTAACATGGTCCCCGTGAAAGGATAAGGTGAAGCCGTCCATATTTTTCTACGATTGGACTATATTGTATAAAATTACTTTTAATTAAAAGCATTTAGATTTGGTAATGTCTAAGAACTTCCACAGGACTAATACCTATAGTGTACACTACATGGCTGTCTTATTAAAATTAAATGTATAATCTCCACATTGCTATAACAATTGTTATTTCCTTCAATGACTATTATATTATCACACACTTAATTATAATGTGTTCAGTTTAAAATAAAATGAAATCTAACAAAAATCAAATGTTTAAATGAATAGTAAGATTGGCACCCTGAAATAGAGCCTACACACATACACAAGCTAGAAGAAAGGCCCTGGTTATATGTAAGGAGAGCAGGAAGGCAATGGCAGTTCTGACATAATCTGGTCAGCTATTATTCAAATTTATATTAAAATAGGTGTCAGTAATAAGGGCAACAGTACTCAGAATAGGATATATTTTCTTATCTGTAATTTATTGCACACAACATTTAGAGTGTTGGTTTGTGCCTCTTTTGATAACTATTTGTTTCCAATACATAACCTCTTCTCAGCTTTTTGGTTAAGAGCAAGTGGTCTCAATTTGGTATGCCAGACTTTGTTGAGTCCTCAAGGAAAGTGTTATCCCCCTCTGAGGAGCAAACAGAGGGTGGGAAGGTGGAAGGGAAGAGGGGAAGAGGGGGAGGGGTGAAAGAAGGGGGGACTGGGGTGGTATGTAAAATGAAAAATAAATTTTTAAGATAAGAAAGAGCAAGTACATACCTAATGTATATAAAAGTCAGTGGCAATCTTTTGATTTTAGCTGGTGATCCTTTCATTCTTGTGGGGCTGCAGAGGGGAAGGTTATTGGCTTCAGCTCTTAGAGTCAACAAACTGTTAGGATATGTGCCTAGTCTAGTCAAAGCCTTCCTCTTTGAAGTTTCATAAACTGAGACTCTGTTACACAAAGTTATTTGCTTAGCAGACCTGTTTAGTAATTGGGCTGGAACTGAAAACCAGTCTCCAGGCAGAGTCAACTATCTTTTTCCCCCCACAGTTGCCTGCTATTACACTGTTGTTTCCCCTCTGAAATCTGACTTCAACTTAACTCTATGCTCCAACAGCTACGCATTCCCTAGGCCCCAATACATGATTAACAGCATCAGGAAAAGCACACAATTACATAATGTTTAGCTTCACAATGGCAAAAGATGGGGGTGGGTTGTAAGAAGAGTGAGGGATATGGAGAAGATGGAGCAATCACTGCCAAATATTTTCAGGTGTTAGAATCATAATCAGGCATTGGCCTTGAAAACTATTCCAGGCAGAAATACCGGCATCCATATGTACTGCTGAGATAACAAAGAGACTGGGAAGAGGAAGCCTGTATCTCCAGAACACTGGCTACTTGAAAATAGCTGAAAACATGGGGTGATTGATCAGGCATTTGGCAACATGCAGCGCAAGTCCCTGTATCCAGGGCTGGGGAAACACAAGTGTATTTATAAAAAGATGCCGTAGCCTGTGACTAATCGGTAATTTTTGGAGAAAGAGTGGCTATATTTTTTTGACAGTTTCCCTTTAATTTTTAGGAAATGTGCAGAAAAGTCTGTTTATAAATTAAATGGAAACTATTTTTGCTCATTTTTGGATAGAGACTGGAAACAACTGAATCATTCCCAACTGTGTGGTTTGTTATGTTGTCTGGAACATCTAGGACTTTGGAAAGGAGAAGGAGGTGCTGTGCATGTGAGTGTGCATGTGTTTGTGTGTGGGGGGGGGTATAAGAGAGGGGCTGAGGGAGGAAGGGAAGGTCAGGAAGAGACAGAGAGAGGGAGGGAGAGTTGGGGGGAAGGGGACTTGGAGAATTTACTCAATCCAGTGCCAAGTGGGAAAGGATATTAGTTCTTCACATTAAACAGAGAAGAAGCCTGACCTTTTTCCTTTTATAAATTGTTTTTTATTGGGCTGTATATTTCCCTACTCCTCTCCCTTCTACTCCCCTCCCCTTCTACCATCTCCCATGGTCCCCATGCTCCCAATTTACTCAGGAGATCTTGCCTTTTTCTACTTCCCATGTAGATTAAATCCATTTATGTCTCTCTTAGGGTCCTCATTGTTGTCTAGGTTCTCTGGGATTGTGAACTGTAGGCTGATTTTCTTTGCTTTATGTCCAAAAGCCACTTATGAGTGAATACACATGATATTTGTCTTTCTGAGTCTGCGTTACCTCACTCAATATGATGTTTTCTAGATCCATCCATTTGCCTGCAAATTTCAAGATGTCGTTATTTTTTTCTGCTGTGTAGTACTCCTTATCCATTCTTCGGTCGAGGGGCATTTAGGTTGTTTCCAGGTTCTGGCTATGACAATCAATGCTGCTATGAACATAGTTGAGCACATGTCCTTGTGATACGATTGAGCATACTTTGGGTATATACTCAAAAGTGGTATTACTGGGTCTTGAGGTAGCTTGTTTCCTAATTTTCTGAGAAATCGCCATACTGATATCCAAAGGGGCTGTACCAGCTTACACTCCCACCATCAATGCAGGAGTGTTCCCTTTACCCCACAACCTCTCCAGCATAAGTTGTCATCAGTGTTTTTTATCTTGGCAATTCTTACAGGTGTAAGATGGAATCTCAGAGTTGTTTTGATTTGCATTTCTCTGATGACTAAGGATGTTGAGCATTTCCTTAAGTGTCTTTCAGCTATTTTAGATTCCCCTGTTGAGAGTTCTCTGTTTAGGTCTGTACCCCATTTTTTATTGAATTATTATTGTTTCTCTCACTGTCTCTGCTGCTGGGGTTATATTTAGGAAGTGGTATCCTGTGCCAATGCATTCAAGTGTACTTCCCACTTTCTCTTCTATGAGGTTCAGTGATCCTGGTTTTATGTTGAGGTCTTTCATCCATTTGGACTTGAGTTTTGTGCATGGCAATAGATATGGATCTATTTTCATTCTTCTTCATGTTGATATCCAGTTATGCCAGCACCATTTGTTGAATATGAGAAGCCTGACTTTTAATGCCATAAGCAATACTTTTTGTTTAATTAAAAAATTAGAAATCATTTATGATTATTCACTTGATTTCTTCCTAAGGAGAATGGAGAAAGCCAGGCAGCTGGCAGAGGCTATGTGGGAAATGAGTTAAGCATATTCCTCTGGTCTGAAACTGTCATAAAAGGGCAAGGATGATAGTATATACCCCCATACACACACACACACACACACACACACACACACACACACACACACACCTGACTTATGGTTAATAACTGATGCAATGTTTATTTTTACTTTTTGACTTGGGGGCTTCACTTTTGGCCTTTTATAACTACTTTTTCTGTACAGCCTCCTTGACTAGGGTTAGTGACCTGTAATGTTCAAGAAAAAGCAGGCAAACCATTACAGTATAGAAGAAAGGTCAGAGGAACTAGAAGCGAGCTTGATTTTTGAACATGTCCTCAAAATGAAGTTGAGGACTTGGAGCGGTACTTATATAATGGTTTATGTTCTTATTTGTTTAGTCTGCATGTAGGGTTGTGATTCAGGACACATGAACTTTAGAAGACTTCCAGTGGCTTAATTAATTCAAACAATACTCATGGTCCTGACAGTTACACGTACCTTAGTTCATGATACAGGCCATAGTTTTATAAAATTGCTTCACATTTCAGAATTTCCATTTATAACAGTTCCTCCCCTTATTAAAGACTAATATTATTATATTATCTAAAGTTGGCTTTATATATAGAAGCCAATTTCAGTGGCTTTCTTTTACTAATTGACTTGTTATTCTAAAATCTGATTTTTATTAGTTACTGCTCATTTACATTTTCCCCTCACAACTCTCCAATTTGCCAGGTTCATCTACTCAGATGAGCTTCTTACCTGTGAACTGAACATCCAGCCTCTTTTATTTTTCCTC